GCTCCCTTAAGACACCTCTTTAATAGACATGTCCTAAAACACAGAAATTTTTCGAGGCGACGCGTATAATAAGATCTATAAGCGAAAACTCGTCGGATTACTTACTGACTCGGCACGGTGGAAGCCACCATTGCTTAACCTTGTTCACATCGCGGAGTATCACATTGGACGGCGGACGATTACAAATCGTGTCACGTGATCTCGCTTCGCCGTCATCCAGTCACGTGACTGCGGTGCTTCGACGTTATTGGCACATAACTACAGCTCTGACGTGTTCCGGTCAACTATCACAGGTATCACGTGATAGACCGCGTTCGTTAATAGCGGTTGTTTGTAAATACAGTATTACAAAGAAAGAAAAAGATGGCGACGTCCGTAGTATCGACAGTATCGTGACGGCAGGATCTATAATTTTAAAATATGCGTTTTTATAGACAAAATTTTAAAAAAAGGTTTCCAATAGCATTTAAAGTAGTTACGAAAAAAACTCGAGACGACACTTACCACTTACATCACTGTGTGGGTAATATATATATACCCACACAGTGACGTGCGCTTTCACAATTTGTAATTTTTCATTCATAAAACCACATATTGGACACTAAAACAGAACTATCTGAGCCATAGAGCACGCCACGTTACCTCCTATGGTAAACTACGAGTACAAACACCCGTTGTTGTGTCCGACAAGGCGCTTCCCTCCAGAATGTAGAAACTAACCTTTATTGCTAACACGTGACTACTTCTTGGGGGCAACCCGAACTTTGCTCGAGTTACGCTTCCGTAACACCGTAACATTCTATAACGAAATTCACCAGTTAAGATTTGACAACGACGATTTATTTTTCGAGATTAATTTGTTAAAAAGAGAACATAATCAAATTATTTTAAAATTCAGATTAAATGCTTATAACTATAAATTTATTATCTATAATAAAGTCGGAATAAAAAAAAACTGATTGTTGCTTAACACGTTCAAAGTTTCAAAAAAACAGTAAAATCTTATAATTTACTCGAACAGCCTTAAATCCTTTCTAGAAAATTACTCTTTTTAAAAAGGAGATTTTATAGGAAAGAAAATGTTATTAAAACTTTTAATATTACTGTTAACGTTTAAACATTTAAGAAAGGAGTACAAACACAGCATTAAGGAACGCAAAACATTTATTATTATTAGCGAGGTTGCGGCCGAAGTTTTCATCTCTGAAATGTGAACGTCGAACGTCCAGCGCAGCTATCTTATAAGCGGCGCTCGACGTTCGACGTTCACGTTTTAGAGATGTAAACTTCGGCCTCAATCTCGCTAGTATATAATTTGATTTTTACATAAATATTTGCATATACAAGCAACTATAATGCAATTTCAAGACTCTCCATTTCGAAAACTGCACATATGAAGCATTTTCTTTTACTGTGTACACTCAGAAAATAACAATAAATTACACATTTTCAAGGATTGCTCGTAAGCAAAACTGCAAAACGTAGAGAATACATTGCATAATTCGTTGCAATCTACTTTGCAGATAAAATAAGTGTTATCGACATAGTAATTTACAGTGTGTGCATATATTTTGAGTCTTGCCATCCTTATTTCCGATCAGTTTTCAGGCCCGTAAATTGGCCGAAAACATTTATTGTGATTAAAGTTAGTGCTGGAAAGCACGAATGGTGTGTTTTGTTTTTTTTTTTTTTTTATCGTCAAGTCTCGGGTTATTAAAATGCCTTATATTCACTGTTATTGAATGCAGGAATATTTGAAATGTGTTTGGATTTATCCTATTAATAATTTTAAATGTTTATGTAATGGATAATCAAGATACTGTAAGTTATTTTATTTCGTTTTAACAATAGTAATTTTTACAAATGATATTTATGATAATTTTATATCATTTTAAGATATGTTTGATTTTAGTAATTATCCAAAAAACCATAAATTATATAATGAAAGTAACAAAACTAAATTAGGATATTTTAAAGATGAAACTTCATCAAAACCAATAAAAGACTTTTGCTCATTAAAATAAAAAATGTATTCTTACATTTATGAAAAAATAAAAATAAAATAAAGTGCAAAAGGAGATAAGAAATCTACTGTAAAAACTTTTAACCATGAAGAATATAAAACAGTTTTATTTAATAAAAAACTTTTAACACATTAGCAATATGGAATTGTGAGTAAAAATCATACAGTAACAACTTATATTCAAACTAAAAATGTCTCTCTTCCCATTTCAAACAATTGTTATAGAAGAATGGCTGGAAAATCATCATTATTTTTAAAACAAAATATATTGATCAATGCAAGTGTTATTGATAGAGGAGAAGGTGGTATCAGGGAACCCCAATTACATTATTGTGAATTGTAAACAAGGTATCATAACTAAACCAACATTTTTTGTGTAAAACGTACTGGTAACTATTAAACTAAATGCTCCTAATTGGACTTTTCGCAAATGTAACTATAAGTATGGTTTTTGAAGGTTTCTGTACAAAAAGTCAGAAAGTAAGCTTAGGGAAAATCGGGTGGTAATATGGAACCTTACTGTATATTTTCAAAAAATGCTTTAATGTATTCAAAAACAAATAGGAAAGTACAAAGAATGTTAAATAATTACAAAATTATTTACTCCAATGTATTTTATCGAAAAAATGCTTTTATAATAGAAAAATATGACCTCCATCAACAATATATATTCCAGCAGCTTTTTTTCGATATTGTCAGGAAGAATTGGCTTTCTACCTAGGGTCTTTTTCACAAATCGATCCGGAGGAATATCTACTTGCAAAGAGAGAGTTCGGAGGAGTTGGATTTCATATTAAAAGCACCAATGAGGTCCGTATTTCACGCATCGCCAACTTGAATTAACTTATGTCTGTCAAGACCAAACTTTAAAAAACGTGAATGTCACACAGATTGATATGTACCCCTAAGTCTCTGGAACGGAATACCTGCACCAGTGAACCTACAACTACACGATTGATATTTTAGAAATAATTAAATTCACTTACCATTCAAAACTTTCGAATTTCGAAAAACATAAATATGCTAATTCACTACGGACAACCATTTAACTGAAGTGAAACGGGTTTTCCCCTTGCTATGGATGTCTGCCCAGTGCAGTTCAGCCACAATTCGCTACAGTTTGCCTTTATTATCAGTTTGAAATGGAGGGGTTCCATAATACCTGCATGGCTCCATAATACCACCTTTTCCTCTACTGATTACAGAGGCAACATTGGAATTAGGGTTTTTTATTTCCCGGTCTTTTGCTTGTTCCGGAACAAAATTAATTATTTTTAACGTATACAAAATATCATGAAATCAAATGATGTAATTATTTTTCATTTTCTAAAGTAATTTAATTAATAGAGAGGTTGAGGCAGACGTTTTAAACGTGTAAACGTGTAGGACGGACGTTCGGTGCCACTTTCCCGTAAGCCTAGAAGTTTGACGATGGTGTTTGGAATGTCGAGCGTGATTCCACCGACTATCCAAACACCATTGTCAAACTTTTAGGCTTACGGGAAAGCGGCGCCGAACGTCCGACCTACACGTTTACACGTTTAAAACGTCTGCCTCAACCTCTCTAATACGTTCTGCAACCTCCAAAATCATGTTAATAATGCTGTGTAAGATATATATTAAATTATGTAATTAATATTAAATATACCTTTGAATTATGTAAAAATTTTCACAAATAGAAAAAATTTATTAAAGTTTGCTGGAAACTGCATACAAAAAAAATTCCGTTTGGATGTGACAGGTCTTTTTCCCCAGCTCTCGGCAGCTCCATTGTGGGTTAAATTTAATTTCGGGTTCAATCAACTTATAATTATATTGCTAAAAAGGCCCCCTTTGTGCCCACAGGATGGAAATATTTAAAAAATAGTATCTATTGAAATTTAGTACCCTTATAAACGCAAAGTAAACATTCTCGAAGAAATCACGTGTTAGAATTATAATATACAAATGTGTTTAATATAATTTACAAACTATTAATAAATGCAGTAACTGAGACTTTTGATTTATTTTAAAAAAGTGAAAATTTTAATAAAACGACGGGATGGCCGGGAGTAAGGAAAAAATACTGTACCGTCCTCCGCCCGGTGGACACTAAGAAGTCCTTTTTAGCAAGCCCATAGTGGGATCGGCCAAGCTTACAATGGGACGGCCGAATGATGAGTAACGGAGCTTACGGACCACCACCGAAAAATTCCTGGGATTTCTGTTCGGATTCGATCCCTGGTCCCCCAGAGCGAAGGTCGCCACCTTAACCTAAAACGATGTAAAGTCATCTCAAGTCGAAAACGTTACATTGGCTGCGTTCAGCAGACTCAACAATTCCTTCCTGAGCCGTTGAGTATTTATCTGCTGAACGCCCTTGACAGTATAGCGCTGTTTCGGAACATACTTGTTGTTTTGACGTCACATTATTTCATTATTTCATTTATGCTACTTTTCACTAGCTGCAACTGATCAATGATGGTTGCACCCATGAAAGAGAATAAAGTTGTTGTTGTTGTTAAGTTATGGCAACGCAACACTTAGGCGATCTGCCTAAGGGGATGCCTTCCGGGAGAACTTTTAAGGGAACTGGCTCCTATTTAGGCGTTACAGACTTGGATAAAATCCGGAAAACTCCACGTAGCCAGCCCGTCCTGGCGGGACGCGAACCCACCACCGAACTCCCGGAACGGAACCGCTTAGCCACTGGTGGGTTCTTTGCTCTGTTACAACTGTTGTGCCTGCTGTACGCAGCCATTATTGATCAGCCTAAATGAAAACACAACTAACATTATTCATATATATTAATTATAATAGATAAAATTAAAATATATATATATATGTGTGTGTGTGTAACGTTTGTAACACTTATTTATAATTGTCATAAGATAAAGATAAAAATTATAATAAAAAATAAATGCAAATACCTTCAATAAATAACATCACAAGAAAGATTAATGACCGTATTAGCGTCAATTAGAGCACTAAGTTCAGTAAAGGAGGTGGATTTGTATGTCACATGACCGTCACGAGATGTCTCTAGTGTCTATGGAGCAGAAGATCCGAGAATGGCCTATGTCGATGGTCATAGGAAGGAAAGGTACTTCTTGAATTTACTTTCATTTTCACGTAAAACACGCAATATGTTAGAAGTGTGTAAAAAATGTAATAAATAAATAAATACGTCATACAATCGGCATAATATACGCTTCCTGTAAAACAAAATAAGGAAAAAACGTGGAGGAAATTACAAATGGTCGTTTTTAATTCATTTATAACACAAATCGGCGATGATTTTAAATATTTAGTATAAAGAATTAAAGGTGCAAACGTAATTAATTTCATTTAACCAAACAAACTTTGAAAGTGTAACATTAACAAAATTTTATGTATAAAATCATAAAAGAGAAATGTTTAATTAAATAAGGTAAAAGTGTGTTTATTTGGCTATCTCACAATGTTTTCCTTAAATTAACAGGTAAAATTCAGTTTATTGAATTATCTCTATATTAATTTCATATTAGCATTTTTGCAGAAGTTACTTTTGGGACGTCTGCACGGCACGGGTAAAAAGTTGCTTGCCGAATGGGAAAAGAAGATCCGTTGCAAATTACAGACTGTAACGACGTACGATGCCATCTGCATGATGGGTTGAGACGAGCGTCGAGTGTTGTATGACACAATACTTGTCAATGCTTGCGTTCGGAGCGTCGATTGCACATTTGAATAGTAAATTATAGACTCTAACAACATTTAACGTGGCCTTTGTAACGGTTGGGTTGAGACTAGCGTGAGTTTGGAGTGTTGTACGCCACGATATTTGTCAACACTCGTGTTTGCATACTCGAATAGTACGTGATGCAGAACTTTGCGTGTTAACACTTTAAAAAATTAAGAGTTGCATGTGAAGAACAGTTCTGCACCATTCTTCACATGCAACTCTTAAAGTGTTAACATGCAAAGTTCTGCATCACGTACTATTCGAGTATGCAAACACGAGTGTCGACAAATATCGTGAGGTACAGCACTCCAAACTCACGCTAGTCTCAACCCGACTGTCACACAGACTGCCAAGTTACTGCATGTGAAAGAATAACAATGGTGATCACCCCCATTTGGCAAGCAACACTTTGGCCACACTGTATATACAGAAACTTAGTTAATTCCTGCTGTCATTTTTATCATCATCATCAATTATAAAGTTAAATAAGTTTCATTATTTCAATATTAATATACATCAAGAAATATTTTCGCAAATAAATTTTTTATTTTTTTCACTAATTATGAATTGTGTAATATAAAATAGAACCATCCTTTTATGAGATGAATGTTTGTTAAAGTGTATGGGGGCCCGGGTGGACAGTCTTTTTTTTTACATTAGAACAAATGAAACATGTAGAGAATGTTTCCTTATTGATAAATAGTTTTGAAAACTGTATTTTTTATTAGTAGTAGTAATATTAATCTACAGTGATAGGAATTATACCTCCCTAAATTTTCTCCAGGTGCAGTATCATTATCTCCCCTCTTGACAGATGACTGTCAAGAGGGGAAATAGGGATCTGTAAGGCCAAGTACTAGTCCTTGTAAAACTTAAAAATTAATTTCAAAATAGTAATATAAGTTTTATAAATAAAACTTTGATTAGAAATTACTTAATTTCTAATAAAAATAAATTTAATGTTTTAAAATTCTTATTCATTATTATTTAAATGAAATATCTTATTACAGAGTATTGTGCAAGTCATGAACTTGTTATTTGTTGTGATAGAAATTGCCATGCATGACAAACGTGCATGTCTGAGGATTTCCTCAGTAAATTACTTGATCTCAATTAAATTTACTGAATATTATCTGCAAATGGAAAAGTTTGGGAAAGACTGCTTTAAATTATAAATATTTACGTAATAAAAATTGAAATTGTTAGAATTAATTGATTAATCGAACATATATTCAAATGAAATTCAATTTCTGGATTGTATTTATGCTGAAATCAATAGTTTGGAGACTTTTTAAATGTAAAATAAAACGTCGTGTTTAAACTAATGAATGGTAATTTGAAGTCAGATTGTAAGCCTGTCTTGCAATATTCATTCATTCAGAATTATGTTACTTCTGTAGAATTTAGAAATATTTGTGTTTGCTTTATTTTGTCTATTATTATTGTCAGGTACACAGTTTACATATTATGTGTTTATCTTGGAATTTATTTGAGCAATTAATTAATTTCACTAAATATCTGTCTGCTTCCTATAAGATATCAATTTATGCTTCAATTTGTGTAATGCATGAAATGCTGTTTTAGCTTTTATAATTTGAAATATTGATTTTAATTTTGTATTTTCTATGCAGAAAATAATTTTAAATATGTATTTCAATAATTTCAATAACAATAAACAAGCTAAATTAACAGCAGTTAGTGACACAATAAAATTACCATTGTCTAATTTTTAGTTATATATAAACATTCATTCTTAATTTATGGCAAATGATCTACCAAATTATCAGGCTTTTAATAAGGCTTATTAAAAGCCTGATAATACATTTGGCATTAAGTTTTAGTTAAAACTGTAACCAGTATTAGGCATTAATTAATTGCAAATAAATGACATACAGTCGACCCCCCCTATAACGTATGTTCCTATAACGACAATTCCTATAACGACAATTCCTATAACGTAGCGAAAAAATTGTAGCAACTTTCGTATAACGTACCTCCTATAACGTCGTTTCGCGACAAGATTGATAGAGTCTGGACCAATAGTGGATGAGCAGCCGAACTACTTTCCTCCGACCCTGCGCCACGCTACGGAGCGGCTAAATTGAGTTTGCTATCGTCTGTTTAGTATTATATATAAATTATATATAAATTAGGTACTGTACATATAATTATATATTAATTATATATAAATTAGGTACTGTATATATAATTATATATTAACTTAATTTATTGTAACTTTATTATAATTATATATATGCTTTCTGCCGCCTGGCAACACGCTACGGAGATTTTAGGCTAGTAAGTTGAGTTTATTATCGTCTGTACAGTATGTAAATTAGGTACCGTAAGTCTAATACAGCACTAATTTTATACATTTCTTGTGAAAGAAACACTTCTTATTCAACGGCCATAAAAATTATTTATATTAATGATGTCTCCAAAGGTCAAGTTATTTTTCTGCGAAAAATTCGTTATTAGAAATCGCGGCCGCCGTTTCATGTGCTGTTCCGCAACGAAAACCAGCTTTAAGCAACGGCGTAGTCGAACGGTACACACTCGGTAAGTAATGCTATAATTTTTTGTTTATAGCATAGTTTATACGGATTACTCCCAAAAAATTATACGTGTTTTGGAAATGTTGAGTGGAATTAGTCTAGAATCGGTTAATTTTATAGAAGAAAACCTTTCAAACAGCCTTAGTCTGTAAAGTTCACACCTATCGGGCTGCGATTGGCTTGTGTTTTTAATCATTCCTACAACGTAAATTTCGATTAGCGTGGAACGTATCTAAGCGTTATAGGGGGGTCTACTGTATTTAAATTTATACAAGATTTTATATTAACAAAGTTACGAATTAGAATTTATATTAACTTTCTTAAAACTACAGACCCTATTAAAATGTTTTAAATTATGATTCATTTGTTGATTTAACTGATTAATTTACTACATAAACTAATGATAAGTATGTTATGAAACCTTCACAATCTAAGTTACATATTTAGTGATAGATAATTACAACTAGTTATCATTATTTACCTACATATACATTATCAGATTTATGTGTAACGCTCATTACTTGTCAAATTTTTGATAAAGACTTATTACATTAAGTATTTCAACTACAATTAATATTAATTATGCATAATTAACAAAAATAAGTTAAATTTTATGAGTTTTATATTTGGAAATTATTAATTAAAGATGAATAATAATAAAAATAAATTACATTATATTTTGAAATGAACCCTCAATACATTTTTAGATTTTTCATCACAATTAATGCAAAATGGCAAAGTTTTATCAAAATTGGCCATTAAATTTTGAGAACGAACTCTATTCTATAGCAAAGCTCATAGAACCGTGATTCTCAATCAGGAGTATGCATTTGTAGTTTAGGGTATGCCAAAAAAAAAAAAATTAATAATGGTGGATATACTATAAGAATATTCAAATTTTGTGTTGAGACTTCAAGCGACATCATGGCACCTGATGCTTAGTTTTAAATAAGAAAATGGAAAATAAAATGTAGGAAAATGGGCTGTCAAAGAAGTAGTGCTAGTGACTGTGGAGCATTGCTTTGTCATGCTTGCTGGTGAAATGACCTTATATCTTGAAAACAAAATCATGGTCACTTAGTTTTTATTACATTTTTGGATTCTTCATTGCAATTAATGGAAAATGGCAAAGTTTAATCAAAATCAATTAAACAGATTTTGAGAACGAACACAATTCTGTAAGCCACGTAGAAGAGTCTTTGCTAACACTCTGCCTCAATAATAATAATGCAATTTTACATCAATAATAGAACAACATAATGAAAACTTTTGTAACTCGTGAGAAATAAAAAGTAAAAAATCCTTTCAAACTGAATGAGAAGCATCCCAATTGTTCTTACAAAAGGTAAGAACCAAATGTCTCATTATACCTTTCAAATATTTTGTTAATTTTTAATAGAGTGGCAATAATGCTCCTAATCTTCATTTAAATTTCAAAAATACATTTTGTGAATGGATCAATGCTTATAAAATGATTAGTATGATTGTATACCTTTGATTATAATAGAAAAAGAGTGCCATTTTCAGCATTTAATTACAAATAATTTTTTAAATAATAAGAATTATACAATACTATAAAAAGTTTTATATTTTCATTAACTTAGCACAATTTCTATGAAGAATTGTTGTTGGGAAATCATGGTTGACAATATGTGTGTATAATGATATTGCTAAAACTGTTAGTTTATTGTCTTTATATATTATAAAATAAACTGAAAACCATAATAGTAAAAATTAAAATTTGCACACAAACTTCAACACATCCAGGAAACATATTACAAATATATGCCTCAGTTAGTCATAGAAAACAATACACACAAAATG